CTTGACCCTCTTGTTTTCCAAATTTCCTAAAGTAAGCAGACATTATACTTATAATCTAAAAAACCCCAACATCCCACATTGAAAGAATAAAAAATACACTCTTTTGACCCAGGGTTCTGCCCCCCACCCCATCGCTCAAATGCCTTGGCATGCTCCAAAACACAGTGATCTGAATCTGGGGAAACTACCTTTTGCTGCAAACCGTCCAGGGGAGCAGTGCAGTCACAGGAGGAACCAGCTGCTGGAGGCCACAGCAGGGCAGGTCTCTGGGTCCCACCCACAAGCCCCATGCACCCCCCTGAGCCTGCAGCTGGCCATGTCCAGATGTCACTTCCTGTGGCTCACAGTGGACTCTGTCCCACCATTGGGCAGGATTCCATGCAAAATAGGGGCCTGTGGAGAGTGAAGGTGGGGCAGGGAGTGGCATGGGGTGGAGCTGCGCCGGCCACCCAAAGGCCAGCCCAAAACAATTGCTTCCCAAGGCAGGAGGCTCTACGCCCGCTGGGGGCAGGGGGGTGGGGAGGCAATTAGGGCAATGCTGCCCCACCTGTGCCTGCCTCTGTGGCTCAGGGTCCACTCTCACTGACCAAGGCCCTTCTGTTTGAGGACCAGAAGCCTCTCCAGAGGAGATCTCACAGGAAGCCTTCAGCTTCCCACTCACAGCAACAACTTCTGCCTCCTGCAGGCTCCAGGAGCGTCTGCCATAGCCATAGGTCTGGACAAGCAGCTGAGGAAGCAACTTGGTTTTATATTTGGGAAACAAAGCAAAGAGCGACCCTGTTGTCTTCCTGATACAAAAAATCAGAAAGTAAAGTTTTCAAATGGCCATAGCTGAACATGGTGTGTCTTCTCCCCTAGGAGCCTCTCTGCCCAGGGCCTGGGCCAGAATCTCCTGGAGTTGATGAAGTGATTTATGGTTATCCCAAGGAAAAACGGGCTTTGAAAGACTGAGATACACTGACCTAGAAAAAATCACGGCCTTTGTAGAGCTACTTTCTCATAGGATCTTTTGCATTTGTCTTCTCTCCGTAAGTGACAAGAGACGGAAACGTGTCTGGTATGCACCAGGCACAGCATATTCCAGGCCCCAGAGAGACATGTGATACATTAGTGAAAGGCAGCGGGTGCTGTGGTCAGGCAGGTCTGGATTCGAAACCTGACTCTGACCTTACTAGCTGTGAACCCGGTCATGTCACTTCCATTCTGAGACCTTTCTCATTTCGTAAAACGGGAATGTCACTTGTCACACAGGATAGTGCAGAGCCAATGAAAAATGCCCTGAACAGTGCCTGGAATACAGTAGGTACTCAATAAATGCTACTGCCTGCTCTTCCAGTGGCTTCCCTTGCTCCTGGAAGCACTATATGGAGACTGGAGAATGCCACACTCTGAAAGCTCTGCTCCCTGCTTGGTAAGCACCAAACTCAGGGCCCTGGAAGTTCTCATCAGGCTGCACCCAGCCTGAGGCTTGCCCCACCCACCACCAACACCAGCTCCCATTCCAAAGGAGAATCACCAGCCAAAGGCCAGCAGCCCTAGGGGCCACACCTCCACAGACAACAGTCATTCGGGTTTTATTTATGACAACTTCTGAGAACACACACATCCAACCTAGGAACAGAAATATACAGCAGGCGGCTTAAATAACTTTCATACACTATGTACAGTCATCAGCAGAGGTACAAAACATATATACACCTTGTGCTAGCCACATTGCGGAGGGAGTGTGGGCCCAGTGACCCCTGCAGCCCGGGCAGGGGGGTGATTGCTAGCAAAGAGCTGGTGGGCAGGTGAGCAGAGCCCAGATTCACTTCAGGGGTCATCTCTGACCCTTGGCTCTTTGTGGAACAGTTTCTACTTCCAATGCAAGGCCCTCGGGATGGGGTTCTGAACTAGGGTGTGGCGGGGGCTTCGGGATCGTCTGAGTGATGGAGATGGGTGGGGGTATGGGACAGAACAAAGATGCCAAAGAAGAAACAGAACTCTCCCTGTGCTTCTGTCCTTGCACATAAGAGGGCGGGGAAGGATCTAGGAGCCAGGAGAGGAGGGCCAGGCCCAGGAGGGCTTGTGGGGGGCAGTGGGCACTGAATAGGAGGCTGTGCCAGGTGAAGAGCACCAAGCAGTTTCCTGTTTGGGATGGCAGAGGGACAGGCATCACAGACCTGAGCCATGAAGTGGGAAGGACTCACCACTCCCGCAAGGCAGCCTCTGCCCACACAAACACGATGGCTGACACATCGGGTACTGGGAGGGTCTGAACAACCAAGGGGGTATGCCTGCCCCCACGCCAGATGACATCAGGGGATGCCCCCCAGGAGTTGGGAGAAAGCAGACGAAAGAAGCACGATGTTCCCTGACTTCACAGCCGCCGCCTGCCCGTGTCTCTACCATACAGCAGGTCGCATGAGAAAGTTCCAGTGACATGGCGGTTTCCCTGTATGCGTGCTTTTGTGCTTTAAGTGGCCCTCCGCCTAAGACACACAACCCAGGGCAGACAGCAGGGCCGGAGAGCTGAGGGTGGAGAGTTTCCCAGGCTGAAGCTGGGGCGAGGCCACGCCCAGACCCACAGCTGTCCCTTCCCAAGGGGCTGAAAGAGGCATCCTGACCACCTCAAAGGCTTGGGTGTGCCAGCCTCTTAGCCTTTTCTCCTTCCTTGGCAATCTCCAAAGGCAACTCCAGGTCCTGCCATCAAGAATTCTGGCTGCCTTAAGAGTCAGTCGCTCAAATGAAAGCAAATACTGAACTGGTTAATACTGAGAATGGGGTCCTGACACAAGACTGGGCTGAGAAGGCCTCAGGGCATAGAACTTGCAAATCAGCTTCAAAAGCACTGGGGGGGGGGGGGGGGGGAGGGACCTGGCCCAGGAGACAGGGAATTTGGATCCAAGCTCTCTTCAGGCTCCACAGGACTGGGACCCAGCCTGCGCTCAGGCATTTGAAAATTTGGGGTGTGGGGTCTAGAGAGGGCTTTACTCCTGGGCATACAGATGTGGCCTGGCCTGTCTGGGCATGGCCTCAAATCTCAGGATGGGCACAGGGGATAAGAAGTAATACGGTGAGTCCCAGAGCTAGGACATGCCAAACCTTGGTCTGAGAAAAGGCGGTCTTCTTGCCCCCAGACACAGGCATCCCCAATCTAGCTTCAGACAGAGTCAACCTGGGGGAGCCTCCTGGGCCCAGGTCTGCCAAGACCACCTGCTAAGGGCTCTGTCCTTGTGCTCAAATCACAACCATTTTGTGCTTCCCACACTTAGGATGCTTGTGCAATGAGTGCAACTGGGGGCCTGCCCCTAACTATGTACCTTGGACATCCCTGAAGGAGTGGGTGGAGACTCCAACGCGCGTGGAGTCCAATTCGGAGCAGCTCAGGGACGATGGGCTCAGGGCTCCTGAAGGACTTCAAGTTTATAAAGTCAATGACACTCGCCAGAACAGCAGAGCCGGCCCCACCATGAGGTAGCTGACCCAGCAGAAACAGCAGGAAACGGGCAATAACAATGAGCACCTCTGGCAGGGCCATGGGTCACACCTCAGGCAAGAACAGGGCTCGCAGCCACAGGACAGTCACTCCAGGCTGGGGCATCCCCAGCCCATTGTGGGGATCACACCAAGTCATTTGTGTTTCGATAGCTTGTAAACAGTCATGCGGACGGATTCTCTCTCACAGGATTCAAGATCAAAACTTTCTGTTCAGGTGGGGAAGGACGGAGAGGAGTGGGAAGAGACGTGCGGCCACTTCTTAGTGCTAAGGGGGATGCCCAGCACCTCTGGGGTGGCCAGAGGAAGAGAGACTTCCAGCTATCACAGACTGTCCAGGCTCCAGGAGACCAGTATCTGGGGGTGTGTCCTTCCTGCAGGTCAGCTCACCCAGACTTCAATACTACATCCAGCAGAGCCACACTCAAGCAGGACAGACTTCTTAGCCTCCGGGGCAGCTCCGAGGAGGGCAGGCCTTGCTCAGCCTCCACCGGGGCCTCCATCGGGGTCCCATGGAACAGGCTCCAACTACCCTGGCCAGAGGGAGAGGAGCAAGGACGGAAACAGAGCCACCTCTGGAAATTCCAAAATTCACTGTGTCCTCTGAACGGAGTTGGGGTTCTTGGCTCCCAGACTGAGTCAGGAAGCACAAGGCCAATGAAGCAACGGAAAAGTAGTGTGGACAGGCTTGCGGGATGGGGTTGGGGTCCTGGCGGAGGGTAGAGCTCAGCCCCTCCCGAAGTCCATTCCTGTAAATTCAGAGTTTCCCCAAGAGGGGGCGCCCAAACACTGATTTAACAACCTCCCTGAAGCAGTGAGTCCATAGCCCCAGGGAAAAAGAGAATCCCAAAGAACTCCCTAATCTCCTAAAAGGGAGGGCCTGTGCCCCACGCCAGTTTTAAGGCTGAAAATGTGTCTCCTGAACAATCAAAGAGAAAGAAGCTGGAGAAACTCCCTGTCCCAGTCCGGGGTGAAAATACAGGTGGACTGGGGAGGTAGCAGGGGCAAGGGTGCCAGGCAGTCCTCGCCATCCAAGCCGCTTCCTAACAGACACAGTCCACCCAGCTGCTTCCTATGTGCCCCATGCAGGACACTGGGGAGTGAGGCTCCCTGGTCCTGCGCTGTGGGGTGAGCTCCCCCACCTTCCCCAGGGCAGCGGGTCTCAGAGGCGGTGGGCACGAGACCCTGCGAGTGAGAAGACACATGTGGTGCCACGGGCATGGCTGGTGTAAGGCTGCCCAGCTCGGATGCCAGGCCCCGGGGTGGAGGAAGGCACTGAAGCATCGGGTGGCCTAGAGGCCAGGGGCGTGCTAGAAGGGTCCCCAGGGGCTGTGTCGGGGAGAGCCTGAGCTGTAAAAAGCCAAAGGGGCATTTTCCTCCTCTCCGAAGTAGATAAAGGAGGCCTGGGGCAGCGGACTCCCTTTGGGATTCCTGGCCCCCAAGAGCTGAGGGAAAGACCATGTGGGAAGAAACTTCAAGTCAGTTTCCAGGTGGCAACGGCAAAAAATAAAAATAAAAAAATAATAAATAACTGAAGTATTCCTGACCATCTCCCCCCAAGGAATCTTTCTGGCAGCTCCACCTTGGCCCCATCAGAAAGGGATCCCAGGGAATTGCTGGGGCCAACCGGGACTCGTTGTTGGTGGCCAGAGGGTTAAGTGTCGGCTTCAAGGCCCAGCTGCCGCCACCTGGTTTCCATGGTTACCTGAGGACTCTCTTTCTGGGCTCAGAGGCAGGTACAGTGGCTCCAGAGGCTGAGCTGGAAGATGAGGGGGGAGGCCAGCTCCTGGGAGGGGCACGATGGGACTGGGTACTTCACCTTCCCCCAGGGCCCACCACGGCTGGGCCAGAGGCCTTGAGGAAGGGGCAGGGCTGGCTCAGCAGGAGCAAAGGCTGCCCGGGAGGGACAGGCGGGGATAATGCCCTTTGGCTTCACAGCTTAATTTTCTCCCCAACCTCTCTCACGGAGAGGCTCCCAAGAGGCAGGGGAAGGACTCGGGGAACAGTATCCCGTGGGAAGGCCAAGTGAGAGAAAGGAGGGCAGGAGAGGAGTCCGCACCCAGTCCCCAGAAGAGCTGGCCCCGTCGGGCCCAGCCACGGCTTCCCTTCCATGCTGTCCAGGCTGCCGGGACTGAGGGTCCGGGGGGTGTCCCTCTGACCCCAATCCTAGGGTGGGCCACTGTGGGGTAGCCGCCGTACGCTCCAGAACTTCACCGTCAGATCACTGGAGTGGACAACAGAGAGGGTGCTGGTCAGTTCTTAGAGAGGGCCCGGCTGGCTGTCCCCCCAAAGTCGAGGATAGCTAGATTCCCCAAACTCCGCAAATGGGGCTGGGGCCAGAAGGCAAGCATTGCTTAGGGGAAGGTGAACTTTGGGATGGGTGCTGGGCAGAGGGGGAGGGCCTGAGGCCTCAGGGTCCCCGCAGGATCCCTGTCATGGGTGTTTTTCTTGTTGGTGTTTGGTCTGGTCTGGACCCGAAGGCTCCCCCCTCTGCATCCTGCTCCCTGGCACCCCTCTCCTGGGGGTCTGCTCCACTGCTCATGCTCAGGGGAGGCGGCGGGAGCGAGAGGGGTGGGCAAGGGCAAGCGCTCAGGGCCAGGCAGGGTGTGAAGGGGAGGAGCAAGGAGTAAGGAGGAGGAGTAAAACAATCTCATACCGTTGAGAAGCAGCTCAGACCGAAGTGGAGAAAAAGAGGGAAAAGGAAAGAGGGGAAGAAGGAGAGAAGAGACAGGGAGAGACGGGGAGGGTCAGGGCAAGGTGGTGGCGCGGCCCTTTATGGCCAGGACTCGGCGAGGAAGGCAGGGGGTGAGTCCAGGGACGTAATTCCACAACTTTACCCGGCAGTCACTGTGGGGGAAAGAGGTGAAGGGCAGAGAGGAGAGGCAGGAGGAGATGGGAAGGGGAGGACAGAGAAGGACAAGGTGGGGACAAGAAGGAAAAAGAAGAAAGCTGTCTGAGTGGCAGCCCACGGGACAGAGGGCCTGGGTGCTCCCTGCTGACCAGAGCTGGGGCTGGAGAGGGTGGGTCTGCTGTGGGAGGGGCAGAAAAGGCTTCGAGACAGGTGAGCAAGCCCCAGCCCAGAGCCCAGCACTTTCTTCCTCCCCTGCCTAGCACCGTGCCCAGCACACGGTGGGCACCCAGTGAAGGCTGGCATGGGCTAGGCATGGAAGGGAGGCCGCCGTGGGACCTGCTCTGTGCACCGAGCCTACTGGGACAGCTGCGGGGCCCCAAACCACCCCGCCTCCCCTGCCCACACCAGGACAGGAGTGGAGAGCAGGGGCGGACCTCTCTGACCAACACCCACCTGGAGGCTGTGAAGATGTGCTTGGCATTGGTGCAGATGGCATTGATGGGGCTGTCATGGCCCTTGATCTCACCAATGGGCGTGAAGTTGTCTACGTTCCAGACCTTGATGACACCTGCACGGCAGGCACTCAGCAGCATGGGACGACCCGGGACAAAGGCCAGGGCGCACACCCAGTCCTTGTGCGCATTGGGGATTTGCTGTGGGAGGATCAGGGCTGGTGAGGGCTGGGGGGAGACGGGAGGAGAGAGAGGACTGCCCCAGGGCCCCTCTTGCTAGCGGTGGAGGTGCTTCCAGGTTCCCCCGGCCTCTAGCCTGTATGGCATTGGTCCTAGAAGCCAGTCCAGGGTGGCCTGTGCTGGGTTCTGGGGACCAGAGATGCCCCACCTCCCACGCTGAAGCCTAAGATCCTGCACTGGTAGAGAACCCTTCTGCCCTCAGCTGGGTGGGGCTAGAGTGCAAATGCTCCTAGGAAAGGGAATTTGGTCTTGGAGCTTCACATGCAAACCCAGGTGCTGAGAGCAAGTTGTCTACGGGGGAGTCAGGAGAGACTGCAGAGAGGGAGGAGCAAGATGGAGATGGGGAGAAGAAGGTGAATGACAGGCAGGCTTGGGAAGCTCTGAAAATCATCTGGCCTGGGGCCAGCAAGCCCAAGCCCCAACGTCCCTGAGGCCCTGCCACCTCACCCAGACCTACCCTTCCCCCTTCTCCCACCCACACCTGGATGAGCTCCTGCTGGTCCAGGTCCCACTTCTTGATGCCGTTATCTCGGGAGCCACTGAACAGGATGTCACCCTGGATGGCAAGACACTCGATGCCGTCGTAGTGCGGGGGTTCGAAGTTGTGGGTGGGGCCGATGGTGCCCATCACACACTCACCCAGCTCAAACATCTGCGGGAGGAAGAGCCAGCAGGGAGAGCCCAGAGTGGGGATGCAGGGCCTGCAACACTGTGGGCCCCGGGGCCTGAAGACCCAGGGGTCTGGCCCTGCTGGGGAGAGGAGCTTTCCCAGCAAGCCAGGGCCCCTGGAGCAGGGGCTGCTCCTTCAGAGGGTTTGGGACCTCTGAGGCTCAGGTCTTGACCCCTCCCATGGAGGCTGGGGCTGGGGATGGGGAAGACCCACGGAAGTTAAGGTGAGAGTGAATCAGTTGATCATGCAGAGACCCCACAAATAAGCAGGCGGCTGCTAAGGAGAAAGGTGGGCTTGGGGTGTAAGCCTCCCTTTAGAGTTCTTTTTTTTAAAAATAAATTAAATATATGACTTGAACTTTTAATAAAGATATTCATTATAATCCCACTCGCCACCCCTGACTCCCTGCTTCCCTATGGTCTCTGCGTGCATCCGGTTTTTAACGGCATTATCCATAAATCAGCGTTGTTTGAACACGTGGTGTTTTGTTTTTCTAGGCATCATTTTAATAGTCGCAATGCAACCGTTTGATTCATTTTCCCATAATTGACTTGGCTGTTTTTCTACCCTTAGGCATTTAGGTTATTTCTGATTTTCCACCACTTATGAAATAATGTTGCAAACTGTAACCTTCTGCACACAACTTCCTGCCTTCTTTGGGGTGATTTCTTCAGCATAACCCCCAGAAGTCTTGTTATTTCCATGAGTATTCCCAAGACAAGAGATGGCGAGGGTGGGGAGAGTGGGAGAAACCCTGCAAACGGCCCACCCAGACTCAGGTACCTTAACATAGTGGTCCTTGGAGCCTGTCACCACAAGGTCATGCTGGCTGGAGGTCTGGGTGACCGTCAGGCACATAACAGGGCCGATGTGGCCGGTCAGCTTCCCAACAGGCTGGAACCTGTAGTGGGTCGGGCCCCAAAGGGGGAAGTGGATTAGAAGGGACTGTGAATCACGGTGGGGGTTCTGCCCCAGAACAAACGGACCTGGTCAGGGTCCTCTCCCTCCCCGCCAGGGCAAGATCAAGAACCCAGACACAAGCTTCCCTGAATCTCAGGAATCTTAGAGGAGGGAGCCCAAGCCCAGCAGCACGGGGGACAGAGGTGCCGCTGGGGTCCTGTCCACCGGGGGCGGGTCCTCCCACGCTGAGCTGATATTTCCTGGGCACACCAAGGTCTCCTTTCCCCAGGCACCTCACCTGCTAAGCTCCCAGATGCGGACGGCATTGCCTGAGGCGGCATACAGCATGGTGCCTGAAGGGCTGAGGGCAATCTGGTTGATCTGATGCTCCCCCTGGGCGCTGGTGATGGCGCGCGTGGATGTGGCAGCACAGGCATCCCCTGATATCACCTGGCCCGAGGACCTGCCCGTGAGGGAGAGAGGCAAGGCCACAGGTCAAAGCGGTCTAGCCACATGGCCAGGAAACCAGTAAAACCTGTCAGGCCAGCCTTGTTAGCCCACTTCTTCCAGAAAGCCTTCTCTGACTGACAGAGAAGAGCAGCAGTTTCTCCGAGAAGCCGAACCAGGGGGAGAGCTCCACTCCACCCCAAAAAGGCAAGTCCCCAGGGCCCACCAGTTTGCCTGGGCACTGGCTTGGAGAGACTGCCAGACTCAGTCATGAGATTGGGTCTGAACCTGGATCTTGTGGAAATCACTTAACCTCTCTGAGGCTGTTTCCTCATCTGTAAAAAGAGGTGATGAAACGAGTATTAAGATTTGGGGTTTTTTGTTGTTGTTTTAGAGCAGTAAGGTTTACAGCCCACAACGCTGAGCACAAGATACAGGGATTTCTCCTGTGCCCCTGTCCCCACACAGGCACAGCCTCCACCATCATCAGCACCCCACCAGGTGGTACATTTGTTACAACTGATGAACCTACATTGACAAATCATTATTGCCCAAGCCCAAAGTTTGTGTCAGAGTTCATTCTTGGCAATGCACACATTCGATGTATCTGGACAAATGTATAAATGGTATCTACAATGACAGTATCATAAAGAATAATTTCATTGCCCTAAAAATTCTCTGTGTTTACTTAAAAAAACTTTTTTTTTTCTTAATTTTAAAGACGGGTCTTGCTCTGTTGCCCAAGCTGGAGTGCAGTGGTGCAATCGTAGCTCACTGCAGCCTTGAAGTCCTGGGCTGAAGCGATCCTCCTGCCTCAGTGTGTGTACTCTTTAAGCACCAAATTAAGTAACAGATAGTTGCTTACAATGTAAATGTAAGGACAAAGCATGACTTTTCCTTAAAAAAAAGAAAAAAGAACCCACTTGATCTTGCAGGGGTCCTGGTCTCAAGTCTGTCTCCCCGTCCTATGCCTGCATCCCTGAGACTGTCGGGGGCAGGGCTTGGGGCCACATCTGGGTGATCATCTACGCAGGCAGTGGCCAGGGGCTTTGGGGGCTGCCGCCACCTGCTGGGCTTGCCCCATTTCCCCAGCTCATCCTTTGGATGCATAGGGTGATATGCAACACACCTCAAGGGGCAGGGTGGGCACCAGGCCGGCCAGGGGCTCCCCGAGCTGTTCCCCAGCCCAAGGGATTTCACCTTGTTCCCCAGAGTAAAACCAAGTTCATGGGCTGGTAACGGCCTCTGTGCCCATGTGGCTGGGCTGGGTTGTACTCACTGGGTCACCTGAGCTGGGAAGCATTTGCATCTGACCCAGCCTGCTGCAGGGCACCACTGTGAGGCAGGCAGAGGTACTTACGTGAGGGTCCGAATGCATTTGGCTGAGTCTCGGATGTCCCACACCTTGATGTAGGAGGTGGACACAGAGAACACAAGCCCCGAGTGGCTGCAGTACTTGATGGAGACCACATTGTTGGGGTGGCCCTTTAGAGCTGCGATCTCTTGCCCTGTGACCAAGTTCCACATCTTGCAGCTGCGGTCTGCAAGAGACAAGAGGGGTGATATCAGCCACTAGGGGGTCAGGCAGCTCTCTCTACAACAGGGGCTGCCCAGGCTGGGGGAAGTGATCTAGAGAGGTCTAGAGGAAGTCTCCCTTAGAGAGACAAACATGACATGTGTGTGCTCATCAGCATGTGCATGTGCTCATGAAAAACTCAGGGAGAGAGAAACCCCAGCAAACTTAGGCCAGAGTTTCTCAAGCAAACTTTTTACTAACACCAGAGTTCTGTAAGCATTACTACGGTGTCCTGGGCTAAAAGAAAATTGTTAAGCCACTGGTGCCTGTTCCTACAAAATAAATAAACCGGTGGCAATAAATTTATTCATTTTTTTAAGAGATAGGGTCTTGCTCTGTGCCCAGGCAGCAGTGCAGTGTTGTTATCATAGCTCACTATAACCTCTAACTTTTGGACTCAAGCGATTCTCCTGCCTCAGCCTCCTGAGTAGCTGGGACTACAGATGCATGCCAAAATGTCTGGAGTGATTATATATATATATAATATATATTATATTTTATAAATAAATAAATATTATAAATAAATAAATAAATAAATATATATATATATATATATTTTTTTTTTTTTTTGGTAGAAACGAGGTCTTGCTATGTTGCCCAGGGTGGCCTCAAGTTCCTAGGCTCAAGTGATCCTTCTACAGTGGAAGAACTGTCATGGGAAAACTTGAAATTGATCAATTACACCTAGATTGACAGCTATCCCCCCTCCTATTATGGAGATATACATATATGTGCATGTGTGTGTGCACATGTGTGTGCATATACTCATGTTTCTACTATGTGTGTTAACTACAGACTTGTTCTTTCTGCTAGTAAATTTTGGACTTTGTTCCTGTGATGAGGTGGGCATGACCTTGTGGAATCCTGTTGCCAAGATTATAGAAAGTGCTTAGAACACAGGGGAGCAGTGGTGTTGGAGGCCTGGGGTGAGCAAGTACAGGAGGGGCAACTGAGAAGCTTCCTGAAGTTTCTCAGGGAGGTCTAGCAGGAAACGCTGGATGGAGCCACCATGGTCAGGCCTGAGGGAAGGCTTGGCTAGGAGTACATGGGATTGGAACCAAGGAGAGAAAGGGTAGTAACCCAGGTGACCCCCTCAATTCCTGGGGGCTCCATGTTCTTACCTCCTCCATAGACCACTCTGACAAAGGAGGCTGGGGTGGGTGGAAGACCCTGACCCTACCTGGTCAGTCAGGGTTTCACTACCTTTGGATCCTGTGAACAGCAACTCATCCGTGGCATCCAGGCAGAGGATGGGCTTGGTGTGGCCCTCGGCCATGGAGACACACTGCAGCGGGGCTGTTCGCGCACCTTTGGCTCCTCCAACAGGGGAGATGATGCCCCTTCCCGGGAGAGAGGGAGAGAAGGTATGCCCATCAGTCAGGGAGACTGCAGCCAGGCTGATTGAGGCACATGGGTGAGAGGAACAGGGTAGAGAATGGACGAAGGCTTAGTGATGGAGACTCCAGCCAAATTTCACCAAGTCTGAGAGCCGAGAATGGGTTGCGTACGGTGAGGTGGGCCTGTCTTGTAAGTATGATCAGGCACCGTCCCAAGCACTTCCAGGGTAGCAAGCCCTGTGCTAGGCATGGCTGGAAAGAGCAGGAATCTTGGGCCCTGGCATAGAGAGTGTCTGTCCGATTTTGGCTGACCCAGATCCTGAGACGTAAAGGCAACCAGGCCCTAGCTGAGCAGGGCAGAGGCCCAAGTGCTGGAATTGGCCCTAGCAGCTCCCATCAGTACTTTTATGCCACTTCAAGTCAGCCAAGCGTCATGGAGGGGTGCAGAGAAGGATGTCACCTCCCAAGCACCCCACCCCAGTATACCCATTTGCCAGTGACTTGTCTCTGGGGCTGGCACCTCCCAAGAGAGAGATATGTGTGCATGTGCACACACATGTACTACACGCATATGTACCCATGGGTCCCTTTAGGACCAGCAGCATCAGATCTCTGTCATTTACAAAGTCTAAATCCCTTGGGGACCCCAACCTGGCCACTCTGGAATGAAGGTTATGGGGACTTGGACTGGCATCTCCTTGCTCCCCATGACGCTCTGAGGAATGAGGGGATGAGGCAGACCCCCGTGAGCGGGGGGATTTTGTTGCACCAGTCTCCTGGAGGTTCTGAGGATGACTTTTAAGGGGGTCGTCAGATTTTAAGATGAGATCCTGGCTGAGTTATGTCTGAAAATACATCCTAGTTTTTTTTTTTTCCCCAAAGAGAACGCTGCTCCTGACAGTGATGCTGCAGCCAAGGGTATGTTGAAATGACCAAGGTTCCAACTGTGGTATATCTTGCACCGTCCCTTATGGTCTCTGCCAGGTCCACCCGCAAGGACGGTGGTCAGACATGTCCAGTTGCGAGTCGTGTGTCACACACACACAAATAGTTCCCCAAACTGCCCCAGTTTTGACACTGGTATGGCCTAGCTGCATGGCTGTGGCTGGGGAAAAGTCCAAGACTGCTGAAGGACAACCCCCCCTCCGAGGAGAGCCTGGCAGGCCAGCTAACATCTCACGGTGGTAAAGCCTCGTGGTCCACTGGATATCAACATGCAGGGCTGCAGGTGCAAGGACAGGGAGCCTGCTGGGAGAGCTAGAGGAAGCTCTCAGTCCACAAGAGGCCCTTTGCTTGTTAGGGGCTCCTTATTTGGGGTGTTGTGTTGGGTTGGCGGGGGAGAACTGGCCCCTGGCCACCCTACAAGCTGCAGGGAGGTACATGCACATCTGTGTGCTGAGAGATCTAGGCAGAGGGCCCCATGCCTTGGGTGCCCAATGGCCCCCAGGGCTTTCACCTGCCTTCCAATCACTCAGCAGAGCTCAGCCCCAGTCCCCCAGGCTTCCATGCGGCGTCCCCTCCCTGCCCAGGTGATGAGGGAGAAGAGAACGTCTGCGACAAGCAACTATGCACCCTCCCCAAGCCCCCAGCTCCAGCCGGCGCAGTCAGAGGCCATGCGGCCACCCTGAGAGGGAGGAACTGTGGGCTCAGGAACAAGTCGAGGAGAGGAGGGAGGTGGGGGAGGGGAGCGGAGGGGCTGCATGCTGAGGACAAGGTGTGCAGGCGGGAGGGGCGGTGCAGCCAGAGGCAGAGAAGAGAGAATGCCAAGAGTGACAGCTGGGAACCAAACACGAGAGATATTCTGTGTGTACCTCAGGACCTCCGACAAAGAGGAGTCGCTGTCATCAGACCTGGGGAGGGCAGAAAATTAGCTGGATTAGGGGGGCGAGGGGAAGATGGACATGGAGGGACGGCAGAGATGGCAGCAGCGTGGGGAGGTCAGAGGGCGGGTTATTCTCTTCGAAGGGGAGCAGAGAGAGGCAGAGGAAGTAGGGCCTTTAAGGGAGAACAGGAAGCGGTGGGGCAGGCTGGCCAGGGAGCTGGGAGACACCTCCCGCCTCCTGAAGTGGGCCACCAGGGTCCCTCAGCTAGCAGGGTAGGAGCAAGGAGAGGGCCACAGGGAGGCGTGGGAGCACCAGCCCCACACTTGGGGAGACAGTTCCAGGGCTGTTTGCAGGTTCCAAGCTCTCTGGCTGCCCCATCGCACAAGCTGGGGGCACCTGTCCCACTTCAGCAACCTGTACCTGCCTGAGGCTGGAGGAAGGCATGCCTGATGCTACCCCTCCCTGGAGCCAGCTTCTTCCAGCAATCCTCAAGGGCTCAATTATTTACAAAGCCTACCGTCCCCAGGGAGCCCTTTGGAAGCCAGCTCTGCACCATGCTCAGGCCCCAAGGGGTGGACCACTGGACAGGACCAAGGCCTCTGGGAGACCACCAGGTTGGGATGGGTGGAGTTCCATCCCAATCCTTCTGGAAGGGGACCTATCCATTGTAATGCATGGAATGGACCAGGTGTGATTCACAATTCCCCTCAAGGCAGCCTGAGCTGAGGCAGTTTTGGGGAAGAAGGTTATCTGGGGTGCCAGGTCTGCAGGGTTCTGACCCCTGAACTCAGCATTCATTGAGCAGTATTTTGACCCAGGAAAGGGCATTTCTGTGGGGAAGTGGGAAGGGCAGGTGTCAGACACTAGGTGTAAGGACAAGCATTTTCTAGCCTGGGGCTTCCCTGAAGCACACAACACTGGTGCCCCTGGGGTTAGGAAGATTTTAGGGAGCCAAGAGAAGAGCCTTCTCAGGGGCTGTAGGGAACTAGAGAGGACCAGGGTGGACCCAGCAGATTGGGGGAGCCCAGAGAGGAACACAGGGAGGATGGGATTCTCCCCCTTTCCCAAGGCAGAGCCCGGGCTCTGAGCCCAACTCCACCACTTTCTAGGTAAATGTCCCTGGGCCTCTCTTTGAGTCCTATTTCCTCTTATGTAAAATAGGGAAGACAATTCTCACAGCTGATTTATACTCAGATGAGATCCCACATATGAAAGCAGGATGTCCAGCGAAGTGGGAGTGCCTTCTGAATGCTCTTAACATAAACAGCACCATTTGTAACTACAGCATTGCAACAGGAGCTGTAAATATAGGGTGAACTGAACATGCCAAGTAAGGGTAAACTGGGGGTCTCTTTCTGCTGGGGCAGTTTATAAGGACCACTGGGGTCTTGTTTGAAGCATTATGGTTGGAGAGTGCAGTGGCTGAAGCTGAAAGACTTCAGAGAAGAATCAAAGAACCAGCAGAGGTGGATAGAAGGGGCCGTTCTGGAGAGCCCTGTGTACACCTGCCCCGACTATTCCTGTGGCTTCCTTCTGGCCCTCAAAAGAGGACCCAGCATGTTTGAGGGAAGAGAAGGGCCCACAGTCAATAAAGAAATGCCAAAGGGGGCATCAGGGTCTCAGCCCTCGGAGGGGAACAGCAGGGCCCTCCTCTAGTCAAGCCCACCCACAGGCTCCCCTTCTCCACCTTGGTGTCCTCCCCACTCGCCCCTCAGCCCTGCTTACTTGTCTAGTGCCGACCCCTGGCTCTGATTACTGGTGAGACGAGAGAAGACGTTGCGATCATTGCGGGGTCGAGTGGGAGGGGACGACGGGGGCGTGAATCCCACATCTGTGGACCTAGTGAATTGGGACAGAGTGCAGCCTGTTAGTGACCACCGCCTGCTCACAGGCCCACACGTGGTACTGGAATTCCAGCTTCTGTCTTGGTTGTGAGGCAGTAATCTCAGAGCTCAACCCCAAGTTAAGCCACTGGATGCTATTTTTAAGAATTGATCCTCACAGATTCCATATTTGAGAATTTACCTACTCGTTAGCATGTATCTGTAGCCCCAAAATCAATACTTGGGGCACTTGTGTGGCCATTCTCGGTCATGTGCACAGTAGCAAAACATTTGAGTTGCTCAATGTGCATGTGCCCAGCTAAGGCTGAACAAGGACACATGCAGCTTTCCTGTTTTGGCTCTCATACTGCAATCATGTGTCCTTCTCGTGGTCTATGCAGTGACAGGTTTTTTTTTGTTTGTTTTTTTGCATTTTTGTGCTTTTTATTGGAGATTTCACTGTATAAAATGGATCCCTTAGCCAAATGTGGTGGCTCATGGCTACAACCCTAGTCCAGGAGTCTGTCTGAGCTCAGGATTTTGAGACCAGCCTGGGCGACATGGCAAAACCTTGTCTCCACAATAAATAAAAAAATTAGCCAGACGTGGTGGTGCACACCTGTTGTCCCAGCTATACAGAAGACTGAGGTGGAAGGACTGCCTGAGCCCAACACACAGAGGTTGTGGCAGCCATGATTGTGCCACTGAACTCCAGGCTGGGTGACAGAGACCCCAACTCAAAAAAATAAAATAAAATAAAACAGATTCCAAGTATACTATGAAAGTGCTGACTGGTGTTCCTAAGTCAAGGAGGCTGTGACATGCCTCACGGAGAAAAAACACAACTGAAATCGCTTTACTGTTCTTACTTGGAAACACAAAATGCCCAGCCTGACTTCTTTGTCACAGGAGCTTCATGCAGGTGTGAGTTCTAGCACTGTTGTCCATGAAGTTGATGTTCATGAGTCAACAATGTACATTAAATAAGGTGTCTTGGAACAGAACTCACGTAACACAAGGTTACATGCTGACCAGTTGATAAAAATGTTATGACCAGAGGCTCCGAGGAACATAACCCTGTATTTTCCCTAGAAAAAATGGTTTAGTATTCAATAATTCAGTATTTATGACAACTTTATGGAAGAAAACTACTGAAAATCACAGGAACCGACTGTATTCCAGGAAGAGACTAAGACCTTGATGGACTCTGGGGGATGTCACCAAACCTCTGAAAATTAAGTGCGTGGACCAGAAGACCCTAAGAGTCATCTTGTGATCTGCAGAAGCTCTGTGGGATTTGGTCCCATGTATGACCGACCAGCTGGAAACTCTACTGCCATTCTGCACTGATCACTCTGGTTTTTCTTTGAATTTCTAATCTCCTCTCCCATGACAAGGCCTTAAAAAGAGCTGAGGCTCCCAAGGACCCACGATCAGGAAAAGGGGTTGAGGCACATCTGTGCAATGACCCGTCCGAGTCACTACAAAGCTGCCTAGGTTGAATGAGCATCAGCAAACAGTTTTTAGCATCTGGCTTCACGACCCAGCTCAAGGTGCCTTATGGAGATTACATTTCTTGAGTCTGTACTTGACACTGTTGGGAAGGGACCACCGGGTGAAGCTAAATAGCTCAAACTGGCCCAGGTTAAAAAGCGTACAAGAGGATCTACAGAGTGAGACAGCACAACCATGCATGTACCCAAGGATATTCTCTCACCTAATGGGCTGCCCTCGGTCATATGACTTCCTTCTCGTCAGAGGGGATGTCTCTGCACCTCGGGACTGCCGGGGGCTGGAAGAGAAGGATCCAGTGAGGCCCAGACCTAACTCCATGCCTACCCTGACCCGCATTCCTGGTTCCCATTCTTACAAAGTGCTGCCCCGGGTAGGCAGGCTGACGGTGCGTGAGACCTTGTCCCGGTAGTAGGGGTCTCGGATAGAGAAACCTACTCCGTCCTCTTTGATCTCAACAAGGGAGGCCAGGGACTTGGTGATGTTCTTTGTGGAGATATCCAGTGGGGGTCCCAGGCACTCAGCCGACACAGCCTTCATTTGGGCAGACAGCTTGGGCTCACCCTGCGACAAGAAGGACAGGGTGGATCCACATAAAGGCACATAAAGGGGAAGCCAGGGGGAGGAAAATGGTGCCGTCTTGGCTTAGAGTAGAGGAGTTGATGAAAGGATCCAGGCAGATATCACCCACAGACGGCCTCCTATGATCCACAGCTAAACGCTACAGGCTTTCAAAGAACCCAGAACAACTGAAATTGTTTTACTGCTCTTACTTGGAAACACAAAACGCCCAGTCAGACCTCTTTGCTGGTCCTCAGCTAATCAGCTTATCCCAAAACTGTGCATTTACTATTCCCAGTCTGTAGTATTTTCCCCCCTTCTCTCTTGAATAAATCCTATATCTTGGTTCAGTCTAATAACTGATCCCTAGCTGTTACATAAGCCTTCCTATTGCTGACACCCCTGCTGTTGAATCAACTATCTGTATGCAAGATAACCAGACATCGACAGTTAGGCTTTGACTCAGAGTATAAGGTCGAGCCATGGGTGGGGAAGGGGGAGATTTCTGAAAGCAGGGCCTCTGGTGATACTGCTGGACAAAGTGGAAACAGGTCAGCAGTGGTTCTGGGCACTTCTCCTACTTTGACCCACCTCAAAAAGAATGAGCTAAAACAGGTCACACACCTGGACAGCCCCTAATTCCAGGCTAGATCTTCTTGGCACCTCCATCTCAGCTGGGTACAATACTGGGTTGGGATTGGGGGTGAGGCAGACCCACAGTGGAACCAGGCTGAGGGGAGGCAGCCCTGCTGTATCTACTGCCTTACTTTTGGCTGGTCTCACCTTGAACTTGAAATCATCGTGGCTGGTGGAGCCTTTCATGGTGAATGACTGGGAGAAGCTGAGGAAAAAGTGGAGAATTCAGGATCCAGATATCCTATGCTCTGGCTCTCTAAGACTTAGACTTTTGGGTCCCAAAGAGTCCACAAATTCAGGCTCATCTGGAAATCTCTCCCCACCAGTCCCAGGCACGTGCTGTGAGCCAGTCTCTCACTCATTGCTGGGAAACTTACCTTCCCTCAGAGAACTCCGAGATCTCCTCATCTGTGCTTGCGTAGCCATTCTCTGTGGGAGGGAGGGAAGGGGGGTTAGAGGGTATGGGGAGAGGGGGGATAGCCTTTCTCCTGCATCTCACCAACTGGGGTCAGACCTGGACTTCTGGGGGAGTTCTGGGGAAGCGAGGGCCCCCCCAGTGTCAGAGCCAGGGGGCACCGGAAGAACCAAGGAGCTGCAAGGCCTCTGCCCACACCTACCCATACCCTGTTGCACGTTGTAGATGAGGGCCTGCAGCTCGGGGTGCGCCTCAGCCTTCTCACGCAGGGCATCCAGGAGCAGATGGTTCTGGGAGGAGCCCGCCATATCTGTCTGCCTCAGCCGGCCCTCCAGCAGCCGGATCTGGGCCTCCTTCTGTGCGACTTGCAGCCCCTGAGGGCAGGGAGCAAGGCTTGGGGTTACTACTTCTGACCTCGGGCTGTGGGTCCCCCTTTTCACACAACCTGCTCCCCACAAGACACCTTGGAGGGCTCCCTTCCAGCTCCTGGACACCAGCCTTGGAGCTGTCACAGACCTGAGACACAGTCCCCAGCCCCCTTAGCTCCCATATACATTAATGGAGGTCACCTTAGACTATACCCTGTTATGGACTAGATTGTGTCCCCTCAAAACTCATCTGTCGAAGCCCGAACCCCATTCCCTAAGAACATGACTGCATTTAAAAAGGTAACTGAGGTCACAGGGGTAGGCCCTAATTCAATAGGACTGACATCCTTATAAGAAGAGGAGATTAGGACACAGACAGGCACAGAGGGAAGACCATGTGAAGACAGTGAGAAGATGGCCGTCTACAGTCAAGGAGAGAGGCCTCAGAAGAAACCACCCCTACCAACACCTTGACCTTGGACTTCCCAGCCTCTAGAACTGTGAAAAAAATAAATCTATTGTTTGAGCCTCCCAGACTGTGGTACTTGTTATGGCAGTCCTAGCAAACTAGACACAAAGCAGAGCTAAGAGGAACTCATCGGGGACAGGAAGAGGGGTCAGGAGGTTAGAGTCTCCTGCCTCCTTCCAGAGTTACACTGATACACACTATGTGGAATCTGTCCCCAAAGACCATCTGTCCCCAAAGACCATGGGCCCCTCTGGCCAGCTCTCTGCCAGGGAGAGAGTGGAGGAACCCAAGAAACGCTGAGGCAACATCCTATGTTCTGGTGTAAAACTTCCCAGGGGGAACGTGGTCTGTCTGTCTCCAGCTCCAACAGACACAAGCCCAGCGTCACTGTGGATGGGCCGGGGCCAGACACATTGGGCCACCTTTAATGGAGGCCCTGCTGTGTGCCAGGTGCCAAGCCAAGTCCCTTACATGCATCATCTCATGAAAGCCATGCAACAAGCTACAAGTTTGGTACTGTCACCGCCCCAGCTTTACAGCTACAGCATCAGAGGCTTGGAGGTTAGGCAGCTTGTTCTAGACTGTAAGCGAGAGGTGAAGACAAGCCGGGCCTGTGAGCTTCACACTGGGTTATGTCATGGAGGCGCCTGTGCCCACAGGGGCCCCTGCCCAGGAACACTGCCAGCTCACCTTGTCAATGGACGCCTTGAGGAAGTTGTCTAGCAGGAGGCGGGCTTCTGCCAGGGAGCAGGAGCTGATGACCACCGATGTGTCCGTTGCGTCCAGCTCCTCCTAGGACCGGGAAGCAGAGACCCCGGTCAACTGACACTGTCCCTGCCACCTCCCTCTCCCACCTCTGCCCCACCAAGCCCCCTGGGCACCTTGGTCTCCTCCAGCTGCACGATGGTGGCCTGGCAGTCAGTGATGCTGTCATTGATGTAGTCGATGTTGGCTGCCAGCACCTCGATCTCCTCGGCCAGCTCCTGCAGCCCCTTCTCCTCCTCGGGGCTCTCAGCCTGTAGCCGCTCCCGCTTCCTCCGCAGTGCCTCCTGCAGGAGGAACAGCTCCTCCCTTTTCTGGGGGTGATTGTGATGGAGGAGAGGCCTCAGGAAGCTGCTGGGCCCTGTCCACAGTGCCCACCCCAGGCTGGCGTAAGAGGCCTCCCCAGGACTTCTAGCCTCCAGAGCAGGCCTAGGGAGTGGGGGGTGGGGGGCGTTGGTGGTGGAGGAAGTCTGAGAGCCAGGAGGCAGAAGAGACAGAGAAGAGGGGGCAGGGCCCACCTTGATGAGCCGCTCCATGTCGGCCTCCAGGTTGACAATGGTCATCCTCTGCATGACAATGTCAATTATCCGCCGCTCTAGGGACTGCCACTTGAGTCTTGCAGCCTTACTGAAGCTCTGGCTGGCCCCCTTCTTCTGGAACTTCTTTCTGGGAGACCGAGGCAAAGGGGATTGGTGGGATTCCTTTTACCCTCTGCAGCTCCACTGAGCCCACACTGGAGCTGACGACCCCAGGGACCCGGAGCACTTGCCAGAGCTTCCCTCTCCCCCACCCTGGTTCAGTCATCGGATTCCCACCCTCTCTGTCTGCACAGGCCCAGGTCCCGCCAGTCAACCTCACCGGGCAGGGCGGGTGCCATTGACAGTGGGTGTGGGGTGGTCCCCCAAGAAGTGGTTGATCTTGCGGTTCCATTGGCGCACGATGCTGGAGACAGAGCGGGCCCCCGATTCAGCCTCAGATGAGGTGGTGCTGGCCGACACCTCAGCCCCGGAGTCCAGCATGGGCGGCTTCAGTCCCGCACGCCCCGCCACCCGCTCAGACATGGGCTTGGCCAGGCGTCTCAATGCAGAAACCTGGGCGGGGGGAGCAGTGTGAGAAAAGAGGGAGCCAGTGAGCAGGGTGGCCTGGAGCCTCACTGAAGGGCCCAGGTTGAGGTGTGAGAAAGGGGGAACACCGAGGCCACTGTGTGCTGGGGCTTGGAGCTACAGAAGGACCAAGGGGTCTCTGTTTGATGTGAAATGAACGTAAAGGAGACTGCCACTTTATTTTTTTTTTGAGTTGGAGTCTCACTCTGTCACCCAGACTGGAGTGCAGAGGCCGCTCCAGGCCACCGCAGCCTCGACCTGTTGGGCTCTGGCGATCCTTCCGCCTCAGCCGTCTGAGTAGCCGGAACTACAGGCGCGTGCTACCACGCCTGGCTGATTTTTTGATTTATTGTAGAGATGAGGTCTCGCCAAGTTGCCCAGGCGGGTCTCGAACCCACGGACTCAGGCAATCCACTCACCTCAGCCTCCCAAAGGCGCGGGATTACAGGCTGAGCCACCGAGCCCAGCTTAACCTTTTTTTTAAAAAGATACACAACTCAGACATTTTGGGATAGAGCCCAAAGCCTGACCTCTAGCCTGGGCTCTCTCTGTGAGCAAGGACCTTCTAACAGGCCGGACACAAGCCGGGCACCACCTGCGCTTGTTGAATGAAAGAAGGTAGTGCTGGAACCACAGGTGGAGCTCCCCTCCCTGCTGGCTCTGGCAGAACTGGGAAATGCTGCCTCCAGTCCTCCACCAGGAAGTCTGAGGAGGCCAGAAGGGGAAGGAGAGCAGTGGCACCCATGCGCCACAGGGACAGGGCCTCCTCTGCGCCTGGTGGGAGAGCTCACCTCCTGGGTTTTCCTCCTCAGGACTATTTCCTGCTGCCGCTTCTGGGACTCCAGAGCTCGGATCTGAAACTGGGGAGGAGAGAAAAGGGTGGAGTTCACACGTAGGCACCTAAGCCATATCTGCCCAGCCTGGCATGGGGACAGGCTGGCCAGCTCTGTGGCTGAAAGCTTAGGTTTCAGGATGATTCTACTGCAGCCAAACTGTTGAGTTGCCCTTCTAGAGGTCACAGTGAAGTCTCCTTTCTCCTCAAGGGTGATTCCCTTGGCTCCTTCTCCCCTCCATGGGAGAGGAATCCTGGATGAGAGAGCTTGGCCTTCCTGGGGCTTCTGCTCTGCAGGGCCTGGAGTGAGCAGCATGTTTCTGACTTGCTGGCAACTGGGCAGGTTCCTGTCCCTCTCTGGGGCTCAAGTTCCTCCTCTGAACATGTCAGGGCTGGATCACAAGCCACATAGTCCTGCCCTTCTCTGACAGGCTGAGCTCTCCTCTAGGCATGACCATTACCACACAAGACAGCAGGAACTGAGGCCTGCTTAGTCAGGAGATAAAGCCAGCTGCAGGGGGAGACTGGGGGTGCTGGGGCTATGCTCCCGGGAGTCTCAAGGGCCACTCCTTACCTCCTGTCGCCGCTGCTCTTTCTTGAGCTGTGCGATCTCCCGATTCCTCTTGGTCTCCACCAGCCGCCGTCGCTGCTGCTCCTCACGCATCTGCTTCATCAGGGCTACCTGGGATGGGCAGAGGTGGCAGTGGTGAGGCAGGGCTGGGCATCAGGTGGCCCACACCCTCCAGGGAGTGGCTGGCTCAGAGGACGTCGGCCAGGGATGGGAGCCGGCCAGCCCACATGGCCTAGGGCCTGGGGTCTGGAGTGAGAGGCCCACCCCCAACTCCCCCACAGGAGCTGAAGCCACCTGGGTGACCTGCTGAAAGGCATGGTCTTAGCCAGTCTGGTGAGGCTGATACTCCTACTCTGCAAGGTCCCAACCCCCCCCCAGAATGTCTCAGCCCTGATGGCCCTCACCCAAAGCCACTGTCCTGAATCTGGACAGGACAGCCTGCCACCAACAGCCTGAGCTATGGACAGGGCTAAGGTGAAGGTCAGGGCTACATTCCAGGGCCAGAATCACCGCGACAGCAATAAAAACCACCATTATTTACCGAGAACTGGCTGTATGCCAGGCACCCCCCTCATGACAAGCATGAGAGAAGCATTAGCATTCCTGGTTTATAAACAAGGAAACGAGCCTGGGAGAGACAAAAGGACTTGAAGTCATAAAACTAGTAATGGTGGGGCAGACTTGGAGTCCAGGTCATTCTGCCTCCCAATCCAGCTCCTACTTTGGCCCAGGGGTTGGCTCCATGGCAGGGCAGAGCAAAGCTAGGGACCAAGTATAGAGGGCCTGAAACCTAGCGTTCTCGAAAGCCTAGCCAAAGGCACAGAGAGCACCAAAGCATGGCCAGAGACGACCCCTTGTGCTGTGAAGCCATTGACCAGGGACTCTGCAGTATCTGCCTCTCCATTCCTGGTGCCCCAAACAGAGGCATGCAGTGTACACAGAGCTTTTGACCCCTTCCAAGTGACAGGAGCATGTGAAACACACGGAAGCCAGTTCTTCCTCTGCCACTGAAGCCTCAGATAGAACCAGAAACCAGTCACCATCACCGACCTGCCCTGCCCTGAGGACAGTCAAGAAAGGAAATGACACAGGAAGGAGGGAGGCATATTCTAAGTGGGCAGCAACTAACAGGGGCGGCTTCTCCCTAGGAGGGCAGGAAGGCTCTTGTGGGGTGAATCCACAGAGAACAGGGAGGACTACTGCGTGCTGGGTCTTTGGGGCCCAGAGTGAGTGTTCTCCCAAAGGACTGGGACCGAGAAGGCCGAGTCAGACCCTTGGCTAAAAGTGGACCTGAAAACTCTAGCACCCCAAGGGACTTTATATAAACACAAGGTGTCAAGTATCTTCTGGGGTCAGGGGTCTGAGGCTTCCTGGGGAGGTGCTGTGTTCTCCTGGTCAAAGGCCCATCCACCACTTTGCATGTGTAGCCAAGCTCTATGGGGGTCTCAGAATGGGTGAATCCAGGCCCACAGCACACTACCACAGGCCACAGTACCAGAGACCAGCATTGCTCCTCACATCTAAAGTCAAAGGCAGTGTGTCCTCTCCCTGGGAGACACTGACTGCAGGCCCCAACCTGGCTCCATTCTGTGACTCGCTGGGGCCCTGCAGCTGGACAGCAGACCCTAGGCTCTTATGGCCTGTGGTCAGAATCCTTGGCTGCTGCATTCTCTGTCTTTCCAACAGAAAACCTGGACCCCTGCTGGGGCAGCCCTGGGAGGAGCCAAGGGTGCTCTTTTCAGCAACTAGCCCTGGTTCATAAGAGCACAGTCATGTGGACAGTGCTCAGTACCTGGCAGAAGGGCCTCAACAATCCGGAACACAGGTGTGTATGTGGATCTTTCTGTCTTTCAAATATGGCCAGGTATTATATATTTTATTTATTATGCCAATTTCACATGGCTTCAGAGTCACATGAGAATCTTCCCTCATGGCTCTCCAGGGCCATCCTGACTGACTGAGATGTGAGCTTGCAGGCTGGGGCGCCCCACAGAGGCATCAGCTTGGACCTCTAGGACACCCACAGGCGTACTCTAGAACCATTCCAGGAGCTGCTGCAGAACGTGCAGGCCCATGGTAGGTCTGATCCACTCTGGGAACAACAGAGGCCCACAGGTCCCTCCCTCTACACGACCAGTGGGTGCCTGGGGTCCTAGGTGATCTGTGCATATTTGAGTCCTGTCTCAACACCCCACAGAGTGGATGCACTGAAGTAGATGGCGGAAATGGGGCTCCTTTGGGGGAGCACAGACCCAGCAGGTCTGAGCCCAGTGAGGCAGTGCCTTTTCCACTCTGGTCAGGTTCATGAGGCCCCTGGACCTGTGGGCCATGCGTGGCACACAGCCTACCCAGGGGAGGTAGCTGGGCCTCAGTGACAGCGGTGCATTTACCACCTCTCAGAATCTATGCCAGCCATCACTGCATCGATAGCCTCTTTTCTCTGCATATAGATTAGCACCAGCTGAGTCCGTGGTAAATGGCTCCTACAATGTAGACCCCTGTCCCATTGGCCCCAAGCACTGGGAGCTCCCTTTCCCTGTGTCTCTGTTCCCAAGTCCAACCCTCCACAGTTTGTAGGGGCTGCCATCAGTGTCAGGCTTTGCCAGGGGGTCCAGTCCCAGGACCAAGTGCAGGGCTGTGGAGAACTAGAGCACACCAGGGGCTGAGGGTCAGAGCGGGAATGCAGGACTAGGACAGTTCAGGAGATGGAAAGACAGAGAGGGAACCCCCAGGCAGGAGCTAGAACACACCAGACACCAAAGACACAAGACCGTGCCCAGAAGCCAGAACCACCGGCAGACGCCAGGCCTCAAATACTAGAGCACTCTGAGTTGTGTCAAAGTGGAAGAGGGTGCTACCCAGAACACACACTGGCTTGGGAGGCAGAGAACTGAGTTCAAATCTTGGTGCTCCCTCTTGGTAGCCAGAATGAACTTCTTTGAGCTTCTTTCCCATGTGTAGTATGGGAATAATGACAGGGCTTCTTTCATGAGGTTCTCCTAAGGACTGAATATGATCACCTGTAAAAATGACTAGCCTGGTGCCTGGCCTCAGAAAGCATCCAAACAATGGAAATTATTATTATTCAAGGCAAGGGGTGCATCAAATGAGAGGCCTCACATGCTTTGTGTAGACGGGAGGCAATTGGGATGCAGCCTTCAACCACAAGGAGCAGCACTGAGCGGGGTCCCCTGAGATCCTCCCTGCCCTTACATGACCCCATGCACCCCCCCATCCTACTTGCCAGCCTACTACTGGAGGCAGGTTGTTCTACCCTGGACAATGCACTTGGCTAAGAGCACAATGTCCAAGGCCAGCACAGGGCTGAACTAGGCAACGCAGAGAATCCACATTTGACAGCAATGACTATTTTGAGCATGGTCAGGGGAGATGCCACAGGGACAACCCAGGTCCCCTCCTCCCACCCTCGGCCCCCACCTTGGCCTTCTTCATCTCGGCCACCTCGGCCTGCAGCTTCTTCAGCTCCCTCTCATAGCGCGACTGGTTCTTGAGCAGCCGGGCATGCTCCTTCTGGGCGGCCTGCAACTTCTGCAGGTCCCGGTTCATTTCCCGCAGCCTCTTCTCGTAATCCGCCTTGATCTTGTTGGCCTTTTCCTCCGTGTAACATTCCATGGTGCCTGAGGGCAGCAAGAGGCAGCTGTCAGTGCCAGGTTCCCAAGGATCCCACCCAATGTGGGCTCATTGACAGTGGAGACAGGAGGCCTGGGTTCTAGTCTCATTGCATGACCTTGGGCAAGTCACATCCCTTTCAAAGCCTGTTCATCATTTGAATGAGGGGGGTCAGACTAGCTGATGCCCAAGGCCCATTCCTGCTCTGACATTCTGCTGGAATGAGTGGGGGTCTTTGCCTCTTAAAATCCCTGAGCTGGGGTTCTCCTGGTCCCTAGCTTCCCATGAAGGTCCTGCAGCCCTCGCTTCTGGCTCAGTTCTGACCCAGGATTCAGTGCTGGATGAAAAAACTGGAGTCAGCCGGGCTCGGTGGCTCAGCCTGTAATCCCGTGCCTTTGGGAGGCTGAAGTGAGTGGATTGCCTGAGCCCGCAGGTTCATGACCTGCCTGGGCAACTTGGCAAGACTTCATTTTTACAATAAATAAAAAATTAGAGCCGGGCTCGGTGGTTCAGCCTGTAATCCCACGCCTTTGGGAGGCTGAGGTGAGTGGATTGCCTGAGCCCGCGGGTTCGAGACCCACCTGGGCAGCGAGACCTCATTTCTACAATAAATCAAAAAATCAACTGGGCATGGTAGCGCATGCCTGTAATTCCGGTTACTCGGAAGGCTGAGGCGGAAGGATCGCCGGAGCCCAGCAGGTCGAGGCTGCGGTGGCCGGGAGCGGCCACTGCATTCCAGTTTGGGTGACAGTGAGATTCCAATTCAAAAAAAAAAAAAAAAAATTAGCCGGGCGTGGTAGCACGCACCTGTAGTTCCAGCGACTTGGAAGGCTGAGGCGG